ATAATTATAATTATAAATTAAACATTCATATAAAATATAAACATATTGATATAAAAAATAACTCAAAAATATAACTCTAATAAGCAGTTGTCATAGACAACTTATAATCAGCTGTCATTTAGCGCAAAGTTGCCTTTGCCTGTTATTTTAATCAGCTGTAAAGAATCTAAATATAGAACGAAAACAAAATCGATTAAGCAACGATTGGTGCAACCCCTCGATTTAAAGATCGTGTTTTCTGTATATTGAACGATAATTCGAAACGATAAAATGATTGAAAAGTTTACAGAAAAACATCGAATAAAAAACTTGCCTTTGTTAAACTTTCGATCGGATAAAATTGCATTTGGGAAGTGAATATAGAATTCGATTCACTTTTGGATCCGTTTTTTGGGGCGGTGCCATTTGCGCCACGGATACCATTGCCAGTGCTCGTCCCTTTGGGTTCTGCTTTATTTTGCGACGTATTGGCACGTGTCACCTGGTTGCCCATTTTGCGAGATGCCACGAATACTATATCCCAACCGACTCCAGCAGCTTCGGCATAACAAACACGCGTGGAACCATATGCAACTCTTTCCAAAAACTGCTTGATCATCGACGTTGTAACGACAAGAAGGAACACGTTAACGTATATGTGTAAGCGAATTTTTCTGAAGATTCCGAGATATGTATAAATCCAATCGGATCTATTAGAATTGACCAATCAATCGCTTCGATCTTGAAATCCGGTTATGAAGTTACTAGAACAAGATCAATCGTATTGGTTATCTTTATGTTATCGAGTTTGTTTGTACTGCGTGTCGGTAATACCGTACGCACATAAAGCCCGTTCTACATTGAAATCGCAAGCGCAAACGCAAGGAACAGGTCTGGTAGAATTGACTAATCGTATTGATCAAATCAGCCAATCGACCAGCGTGATTGGTCAATTCTACGAGATCTATACTTTGAGTTTGCGCTTGCGATCAATGTAGAACAGGCTTAACGTACGCATGGACAAACCGCTTGTCAACATGGCTACGTACCCCCTGTTCCGTTATTAAGGGTCGTCTACAATGGAGAGTTTTAAGAGCCGTCTACAATGGAGAGTTGTAGGCCGTAATAGTAAGAAATTGACCAATCACAATCGATTATTCTTTTGTACTTTGTCTGTGATTGGTCAATTTCTTACTATTACGGCCTACAACTCTCCATTGTAGACGGCTCTTAACGTATCCTATAGATTGTTCAATACTGCCAGTAATAACGGAACAGGGCCGTAGTTGCCAATGTGCACCACCATGAACATAGCGCTGAGGAACAGGACAGAAAAGCGATAACAGCTAAAGCCCGTTCTACATTGATCGCAAGCAAAAACGCAAAGTATAGATCTCGTAGAATTGACCAATCACGCTGGTCAATTGGCTGATTTGATCAATACGATTAGTCAATTCTACGAGATCTATATCTTGCGTTTGCGCTTGCGATCAATGTAGAACGGGCTTTAGGCTTGTTCTACAATACAGTCGTAAGTCGTAAGAAATTGACCAATCACAATCGATTATTCTTCTGTAATTGTTCTGTGATTGGTCAATTTCTTACGACTTACAGCTTAAGACTGTATTGTAGAACAGACCTTAAGAGCCGTCTACAATGGAGAGTTGTAGGCCGTAATAGTAAGAAATTGACCAATCACAGACAAAGTACAGAAGAATAATCGATTGTGATTTGTCAATTTCTTACTGTTACGGCCTACAACTCTCCATTGTAGACGGCTCTTTAGATCGATAGAATTAGATCGATTTCTCGATATTCGACCAAGCAAAATCGATGTAGATCGAGGCGCCTTTCAAGGCGAGGAGACAATCGAGTTTCGCAAGCTAATCCGTAAGCTGCGCTTTGTGCGCTTGATTTGTCAAGAGGACAAGTGTAGCGTAGCGAAGCGAAGCGGCATATACGTTACGTCGTCGTGCCGGATGCCGCTGCATTAACTTGTGCTTGTCGGCGTGGAAGCGCCGACTCAAACGATTCGAGTAACGATCGTGCCAAGGAACCAACAACCGGAAAGCTACGACGACAACGACGACGAAGACGAAGACGACGACGTCGACGACGACGACGACGACAAGAAAGAAACTAAAGAGGACGAGGAGGAAAACAACGACGAGAAGGACCGGTAGCGACGCAACGCGTAGCCGACGGCAACGTGTCGGCGATGTGGCGAGCGTCGCAGATCGCTGGGTGTCCGGCAGGGATGCTCACGCGTTTCCTGACAGCGAGTATCTTGATGGAAGGGTGAGGAAGTCAACGTAAGAGAACCTCTCGAAGTGTGCACGTCTTTACGTGCGAGTGAAAAAGCACAAGGTCGTTTTTCTGATCTACGTCCGAGAGGCCATTCCGCGTCCACCAAGGACGAGTTTTACCGAGATTCTCGTCGTTCTACGGTAGATAAATAAAATTACTATTCAACAACCAAATAAAGATTGCGAACGATGGCATCGCAAAGTCAGATCACCGTCAACGTCGCTTCGTCCGAAAACGCGACGCCGGCGGCAAACGGACCGCCGTCGACGTCCGCGCCGTCGACCGAATCCACCGTCCTGGCCAGCGAGATGGCAATTTCGGCTGTAAAGGCGCAGACTCTCGTTACCGGTGTTCAACCATCGCAGTCACAACAGGCTAACAACATTGAACCGCTAGATAAAAGTTCCTCTAATACTCTGAAGGTATGTGTCTCTTTACATGTGTTTTTTTTCATGATTTTGTCTCCAAGAAAAAGTCTAAAGATAATTTTTGTAATATTATTTTTGATAAATTGCGCAACAACTCGAAACAAATGCCTATAGAAATGTTAACAAATGCTTTATGTACATTTGCAGCGAAATCCAAAAATGGAGTTGAGCAAAACCGATTTGCTGAAATTGCTGGGATACCTGGAGGGTGAGCTCCAAGCAAGAGACATTGTGATAGCAGCATTAAAAGTAATTTTATTTTTGTATTTGATTTATTAATTTTAATTCTTCAGGCTTGAGGCTTGACACATACGAAGATCACAGGAGAAGAACTTGAGTACATTTAATTTTCTGTATTTGATGTTATTTGCTAGATAAAATGGAGTAAATCTTATAGCGATTTCGGCTGGTGTGCCACCTGTGTAGAGTTGGTGCAATTGTGTGCAACACCGCATCGGTGTGTGTACTGATTACACTAACTGGCTCCGACTAATTTAAGAGCCACTTTGTGTACACCCAACATGCACCTATGCGGTGTACTGAGCTCAGACGAATACGCGGAACCAGCAAAGAACTGCTGCCATTCGACCAGCCGAACACACAATTTGCACCGACACCCGAAATGTGGCAGTCGGTGCAAACCAGCCGAAATCGCTATTAATTATCCAAAGCAGGGGAAATTCTTGATAAATTCCGAGATTCATTTTTATAAAACATGTACAGAGAAATGCGTTTCGAACTTTAAAATCGCTCTTCTCTCGAATTATAAAAATGTGACTTGTCAAGTTCTTCTCCTATGATCTTTTGTATGTAAAGTTACATATAAAGAACTAAATGTTATAAATAATTTATAAGAATCTAGTGTGTTTAAAGTTTTAATCTTACTTTTATTTTTAAAATTATAAATAAAAAAGATTGAGAATATGTAAGAAAAAAAGTACGAGTGAGAAAAATTAATGCATTTTATTTAATATTTTTGTAGAACACGTTATTGCTCCAAGCTCTCTTCGCTTTCAGCGAAAGTGCACTTTCATCTTTCGATGTTACAATGTTATCTCTTGTTCCAGTCAGAAAAAATGAAGCATCTTCTAAGTTCCCGCTATCTAACCAGTACTTCGGATCCGCACGCCGCACTAGCTCGCGATGTGGCAATAGTAGGTGGCGTTATCGGAGTCGAGGGAAATCAAATTGATCAACAAGTTGCTAGTCTAGAAGCGTTGGTGACACAGCAAAGGAAGGCGCAATGCAGGATGACTAAAGTTCTTAGAGATGCTGAAATTAGACATAGAGCAGTATGTATTTTTTGTTATACGAAGAAATATAGTTTTTTTAAATATATGTATAACATAGTGTACATTACAAGCAGGGACTTATACCGGTATGCAAAATACCGGTATTTTACCGATATTTTTGGGTAATACTATGAAAACCCTTATGCAAACCGAAATGCAGAAATACCGGTATGACGTCATACCGATATACGATAATACCGGTATATTTACCCATATTTACATATATTTACCGATAATTTTTTCGTGATTTTTAAAAAGTAATATCTTAAAACTATAAGTGTTGTCATTATGTTGATAACACTTTTTAATAATATAATGTTTATAAAAAACTGCCGCACAGAAACTTAATATTATTTAAATTATTATTATTTTTTTATATAATTGAGAACAGTAACAATAATTAATATAATTAAGAACAGTAACAAAATACACATAGACATATTTATCAATATCCAAATTTGTTAAAAATTTCACTTTACATTAGTCATGTTACGTAATAAAAGAAAGCATGAATAAACAGCTGCTTCAATTGGTTTATAAAAAAAAGCGTCTTTATATTTTGTCGGTCTATAAGTCCAATAAGCGGTAGGAAGATTAATTATGCAACAAAAATTGCTTTAATTAACTTATCTAATTTTGAAGAATACCATTAGTAGGAATACCGAAATAATACCGGTATTTTATTACGGTTTTCGGTACATATCGGTTTCGGTACTATAACGGTAACGGTATACAATCTCTAGTATAATACCGGTATTGAAATCATACCAGTAATAAGTCCCTGATTACAAAAGAAGTAGGATCGTTAATTGATTGATATTTATTTAATATTTTATCACAGAAAAATGTTTTGTTTCTTAGGTGATTAAAGAATTAGAAGAGGAGAAGCGGAAACACGAACACGATACCGCTCAAGGTGATGACATCACGTACGGTCTTGAGAAAGAACGAACAAGACTGAAGAAAGAGCTAGAATTAGAAAAACAAGAGAAGAAGCGATTAGAGGTCGAATTGAAGAAGATGACCGATCATCTTGAGGAGGAGAAGAATCGGCAAAAGCAGATAGTACTCCTGCTCTTAGCGGAACGCAAAAAAATAATCATGAAGTACATCGAGGAGAGAAAACGGTCTGAAGATCTAGCTCAAATACTTAGCGAAGAGAAAGTGAGAATAGATTCGATGGCTGAGGGCCTCGAGGAGGAGAGCAAGAAGTCGCTGCAGATGGAAGCAGAATTGGAGAAGCAACTGGCGCAATTCGACATGGAGAGGCAACAGTATCGACAGGCTCTCGTGAAGGAGGAGAAGAGAGCGAAGGATTTCGAGATGGAGTTAGAAAAATTGCGAATCGAAATGGAATCTTGGAAAGAATCACAGGCTCGTCCCGCCAGAAGTGTCGGCGGAGTGCCACCACCACCGCCAGCGAAACCAGCAAATTTAGTCGCAATGCCGACACTCAGGCCGGCCAGTGCTCCGCAAGCAAGTACGTTTCGAAAATTAGGAAAATAGGAATTATACGCATCAAGTAAGATCTTAAATTAAATTAAAATAGATATTAAATGATAAAACTCAACTCAAATTGCCGTTATTACGGCATTTACTTGATGTTTCACTTGGGATTTTACATAAAAAAAAAAAAAGATAAATTTTAATTCTTGATATCTGTCACAGTGAAAGGTGCGATTCTGGGTACGGGAACGCCTATGGTTAGTAGTAAAGTTGTTCAACCCACTGCCACGGTGTCCAGTGTTCCTGTCAGTGGACCAAGTAAGATTCTTTATAACAAACTTAAATCTTATATAGATATTATAACGCTATAAATTATAGATATTGAGTCTATGTTTATATATACAGTTAAATCTCGATAATTCGAACTTCTATAACTCGAAAACCTCTATAAGACGGAAATTTTTTCATTCCCTTCTGTTCCGCGGAAAGGAAAACAAACTTCGATAAATCGAAACCTCTACAAACTCGAAGATTTTAGCTCTTCCCTTGAGACTCGAGTTATCAAGGTTCGACTGTATGAATGAATGGTATATTATATATTTTTGAGAAAAATTTATATATTTACACGTCTGTGTGTGTGTTTATAGAAAAGAAAATTCTGTTTTTTGAAACTGTGTAAATTGCTTTATTTTATCAAAAGTTGCATCTTTAAAAAGTATGTTTCTTGTTTCTTCAGCAACTGGGATCGCTAGATCAGTAACACCTGGACAGGCACTTCGCGGGGTCACATACACACCTAATTTAACATCTGTGAGCGGAGAGTCTACGGCGCCTCCAGATACACAGGTAACCTATCCACATTTTTCTACACACTCGACGTTAATCTAAAGAATTATATAGAGAGCCTATTTATTTATTTATCATGTAGAGCCTATTCTATGTAAAAGGGGTGTTACGATAGGTATTTTTATATCTAATTTTAAAACAAGTGTTATTTGAACGAGTATTTTTTAAAAGAAACAAAGAGTGCGAAAAAAAATAATCCAATGTAAGTTATAAATATAATCTATGTTTATAATGAGGTAGAGAAAAAATTTAGTTGACAAATAGAAAACTTACATTAGCGTTATATTTTGAAAGAGAAAATAGCGTTTTTTTAGATATCATTTGACTATTTTGTGGCTATGTAATAACTCGCGAATATTATGTTATATTTATTTTTAAAAAACTTACAATTACGATAGATAAAGTATAAATTTATACATGAAGAGAATTTAAGATAAGAAATATTTATCTTTTTATAACATAAAACTTCATCTAAGTATACTAAATTTTATCTTTGTACTAAAAAGACTGTAGTTATATATAATAGATAATAAATAAATATATATAGGCTCTTTATAAATCAAGATATTTTCAAATAAATTTTTGCACACACAGTGTACCATTTACACACACACACACACACACACACACACACACACACACACTTTATATGTTTGGTTATTAATTAAAAAATGTATATATTTTACATTGCATCTTCAATGATTGCGTTTCTTTTCACAAGTTAAGATCTATTTTATGATCTTCGATTTAATGCAATTGAAATAACAAAACATCTTTATGTATAAGAATATAAATTTGTTTAATAAATATAAATGATTCGTTATGTGTGTAGGGATAGTGCATTTGTTATATCACATTTATACATATGTGAGCACTTTATAAATTTTTCTCTAGTCTCTTATTATTATATATTTCATTTCAACATTTTTAGATTATAGGCGTCGCGCACTTTATTTACGTTACTTGTATTTATCAAAATCATACGGTTGCTACATATATGTTTTTTCTCTTCAAATTTTTTTTAATTTCAAGAAGACAGGTGTTTTATATGTTCGTACAAAAAGTAGAGTGTATTTTATTATTTTGGTAGCGCCAAATTTGTTCAGTTCTTCTGAATATTTAATTAATTTAATTAAAAAGTGTTTTTACACTGACTTAAATTATATTGCATATTACTTAACGGTAAAATATTTTAGAAATTATAAAAAATAATATATAATACTAAAAAATATATATATATTAAAACAATTATGAAATTTAGACATTACAAAATAAATTATATTATAGTTAGAAAACAGAAACTTAGAAAAAAAGAAAGATTTTGCTTCCTCTAAATAACACCATTCTTTCGTGACTTTTACACAATTTAATATTTTTAATGCACAAGATATTTGTTGCATTAATTGAATTATTTTCAATCGCTTGTGATATCAGACATTACATTGAAAGTTTTGATATATTATTTCAAAAATTTTTTAAAATCTACAATCATGATGAAATATAATACGTTATTTTAAAGAGAAACTTAGTTTTGATTTGCAATATATAACTGCGTTCGGAAAGCGTGCTGTCTGCAATATTGCGTCATTCTATCTTTGTTTTACATCTAATGAGGAATAAAGATTAGAACGATAGAACGCGCAGATAGAGCGCGTTCCTCAAACGCGGCTTATGTGCGCACTTTTTTTGTTCATAATTTATTTGTTAAAAATTAAGAATAATTTATTTACGTCTAGAACGCTGTAGTATGTGCACTTTCACTATAAAATCAATCTTATAAAATATATCAGCACTTTTATCTATAGTATTATATTTTATTACAGTATACTTTTATTTTATGTACATAAAATTATTATTGTTTTACATGTATACATTGATTGATATCTTCAATTAAAAAAAAAAAAAAAAAAAACAGTATGCAACTTATTTCTGAGCCTTATTTACACAAATCTGTCCATCTACGCTTAAACTTCCTAATTGCTATCCCGTAATTGCTGCTATACTAAATTTAAATCTTTGGTTTGGTTACGAACCTACTGCTGTACTCTTGTCTTATAAATTTGCAAACGTATCTATAACAAATGATTATTTGAGGACCCGAGGTCCGATGCAGTTTCTATATAGATTTGAAACACACTCTTAATTTTCCTTAAATTAATTAAGTTTCTTTTCACCATTTTACATTTGTCTTTTATACGATGATCTCTCGCACACACATGTTTACGTTTTTACTAATTCACTCCTTGATTGCATAATTCAGACTTGCGTTTCAACACATATGTCTTATCCTCTGGTGATTTGTGCAGGTATGCAAACAAAAAGCGCGCTCCTATGTACAAATTATTTATTAACAGCACACCACAGTATATATATACGTGCGTACGATAATTTAGTATTCTTTTTTTTGGGAAGCTCCGGTAAATTGTGAAAATCGTTTGTTGCTTAAATAAAACGGTATAGCGTGTTTGTCTTCTCTTTTGATATTGACCAATGTTTTCGTAGCTATCGTTCTCAATTTTCTCACCGAGTTTCTTTCTGCTTTGGATTAGTTGTTTCTTTATAGGTATAGTATTTTGTTGTCTTCCCTGCAACCTGCGAAATAACAAACTGTCTTTCTTTTACGGTGTCCGCACCTGTGTGTGTGTGAGTCCGTGGTGAAGTGTACCCCCGAAATTTGACGATCTTCTCAGTTCTTCCTCCTCCTCAAAATCGGTCATAGTTGTATTGTGTTCATTCCTCCAGGCCGTAGATAAACGACAGCCGATAGTACCTGGCCCCGTTAATGCCGCGGCCGCCGCCGCGGCTAAGCTTATCACATCGTCGCAAGCCGCAGCGGGGAAGCTTGGTTTTCATATCGGCCAATCTGCGAGTCCCGTCGCCGCCGCCGCCGCCGCCGCTGCCAGCCCCGCCGTTCAACCATCCGTTGCCGCCACCACCGCCGCAACCGCTCCTGGCGTAATACTACCGGCGAAAAAACCGCCGATACCGCGCGGCGTGCCGCCCCCGGTGCCACCGAACAAGCCAGTGGTACCGCCGAAAAAGGAGGCGGCCGTTTATCTCAGAAGACCGGAATTGCAGTCGCAGCAAAGCGCGTCCTCGCAGCAGGACGCGGTCAAGTACGGTAAACAGACGGCCTCGTCGTCGCACAGTACGGCGGCGAACACTGTGACGAGCGGATCCGCGTCTACTGTGCAGCAATCACTTACGGCGAACACCGGCCAGACTGTTGTCGACGAAGAGGTCAGTAACAAAACGACGACGGAATCGAGATAAATAACTATAGAGTAGTGGAATGGGATTAATCACACACTCTCGGTAGGTAGGGTAAAAAAAAAGGTGCACGAATGCATATAATGAAACACTGTCAATACACTGTCAATGCGCTGGTATGTGTTCAATTATACAGAGCATCGTGTGAATGTGATTTCAGAAAAAGCTGCGTTGATTTAGTACTGAGAAAGAAAGAAAAAAATAAACGCGTGTGTATATATATATGTATATACTATATGTGTGTGTATATACATATATACACATACATTATGTATATATGTATTTATATATATGTACATATATATAAGTATATGTATATGTATATATACCGAAGTATATGCAATAGAAAAGAAAAGGAAGAACACCACGACCCGCGATGTTTGGGATCTGTGCTGGATCTGCTGCACGTGCAAGAGATTCTGTATTTGCGAAAAAAAAAAAAAAACCGTCTTTTTAAGAAAGACGTTTAATTTATTCGACAAAATCGACGTTTTTTTTTGCGACAGTTTGTAAAGAATAACGGCGTGCGTAAGCGTCAGATCTCGTCACGGCTAACCGCGTCTGGATACAAAGAATCCTATTCAACGGAATGGCATTAATTTTAGAATGAATAAGTGCAGCCCGGTGAAAGTTAGAAATATTCCTTACATGTGTAAGGGTAGCCCCGCTCTGTAGACTACTAGTTCATTTTATGTTCATTTGTACATGAACAAAGTCGTCGCGTCGTCGACACGAACTTTGACGAAATACATGGATGTTTTTTTTTTTAGACGAATACGAGCGTTGTCACGAAAATCGTTAACGCGTCTCTAGAAAAATTTTTAGGAGCTACTCGTTAATAGCTCGACGTTACGCAACACCAATTTCCGGTTAGTTGAAAAAACTTTTACTTTTCTATTTTATAAAGAGCAATAACGCAAAACGAGCTGAATTCAATTTTTGCGAATCTCATTGGCTTTGTATACAATTGTTTTTTTGGCGGTGTCTATTTTTATATATTTATAACAACTTTTATATTTCGACGCATAAAACATCTCTCTCTGTATAATTTTTCTTCCACCTTTGGTCCCGAGAGACAATACCTATCTCAAAGTGACTCACCTATCTCAAATTTCTCGTGTATTGTCCGAAGGCTGACATTTTGATGCACGCGATGTTTTGTCACACAAGTTTATACAGTACCCAACTACTCACTTCAACTCGTTTTGCACGATTGTTCGAACAATTCTACATTTGTATTATTATTAGGAAAACTATGCTATGAAAAGCGAATATAGCGCTAAATGAATTTAGTTGAACCGAGACGTGCGTGAGTCAAAGGTGCAACTTTATAGATGGAAAAATAGAAAAAAAAAAAAACTATTACGTGCTATGATCACTGCCTTGTCTCATATAATTGCGTGTATCGGCTAACAAACGTAGAACTTATCTGGAAGAAAATATTTTGCACATTGCTAAAAGAATAGGCGAAATAAACATTGATTTTGCCATCTAAAAGTCTATGAAAAACAATCTAAAAAAAAAAAAAAAAAAAAAAAAAAAAAAAAAATATGTTTTCTACTCAGTCTTTTAAAGAGCGTAAATGTATAAAAAAAAAAAATGATTTATACAATTGCACGCATTCTTTTTTAATAACAATTTATTCTCTGATAAAACGCAGTGTTTGCGCTAAACATACTTTGAATATTTTAATTTTATATAACGGATATAATAAATAAATCTTATCGTATCGTTTATATAATATTAAATATTATATAATATTTTATATAATATTAAATATATATATAATATACAATATGATATAAAACTTGATATGATATATATATAAGATTGAAATATTGGAAGTGCAGAGACTAATGAAAAAAAAATAACGCATTAGTAGAATTGATTCAAATAATTTTACTTTTTGATGTAGAAAATAAATTATTGAGATTTATTTATAATAGACAGAATAAGAAGAATCATCGCGTATTAATACGTATCGTTGAGCGCACAATAGCTTTTTCCCTTTATGAGTTTTTTTTATGAATGAGAAAGAGTCAGTGTTTTGAACTGTGAAAAATTATGTATAGACAAACATGTATATAATACTCGTGCATACATACGACCTTATGATCGTAGAGTCTGTATTAGGTGGTGTACTTCTTCTGATTACACAGCGTGATCTCTAAAAAAAAAAACCTTACTGAATAATACTCTTCTGGCATTGTAAAAGTCTTCCAGAGTTTTAGTTTTCTATACATACACACACACACATTGTAGGATTTAAGTTCGCGATGTTTTAGTCACGTCCGACGATAGTCCGCGATGATGCATTATTAATCGAATGAATGTTACCCTCGCTACACACACATACACACATATACAAAGACAAAAGATCATTCTATCATTGCAATCACAAGAAGACAAGTAGCAGGAACTGGGGACCAGGGAGATTATTAAGAGAGTTAACACGAAAGCTGATAAAAAACGCATTCAAAAAGGAGAAACACTCTCGCAATAAATAGCAACAAGAAATACCAACAACAAGAACAGCAACCGTAACAATAAATATTAATAGTGAGTGTTATATAAATATAATAACGATAACAATAATAAGATTTAACAATATATTGCTAATACAATTATGTTGACTATTGATGAAATATTAAAATAAATAGTGCTAATTAATAACATGATAATTAAAAATAACGAAACGCTAACAATCGTAAGAGCTAGCAGCAGCAGCAGCAGCAGCAGTAGTTGATAGTAGATAATAGCGATTATAATAATAATAAGTGCTTCTTGTGTGCGAAGTAAAAAAAAAAATCATTCGCGCAAAAATTTATCAGTTAAAAGACGAAGATCTCATTGCAAATTCTCCGTGCGTACTTATTACATTATCTCTAAGTCATGATAATCCAACAGACAGATTTATCCAATCTGACTGAGGGTATACATTCACAAGAGTTTTACTCTCTCCTACGATAGTAGCTCTCGTTAATAAAAAAAAAAAAAAAA